GATCTCTGTGAGTTCGAGGCCAGCCTGGGCTACCAAGTGAGCTCCAGGAAAGGCGCAAAGCTACACAGAGAAACCCTGACTCGAAAAACCAAAAAAAAAAAAAAAATTAAAAAATTATTTATTTTTGTTTATGTGTATGTGTCTGTTTGCCATATGTGTGGGTGGGTGTTCTTGGAAGCCAGAAGAGGAGGTCACAGTCCTCTGTGGTTGTAAACACCTTGATGTGGGTGCTGGGAACCAAACTCTGGTCTTCTGAAAGAGCAGCAAGCACTCAGCCACTGAGCCATGTCTCCAGCACCTAACTAACTCCTTTCTCAGTTGTGTGTGTGTGTGTGTGTGTGTGTGTGTGTGTGTGTGTGTGTGTGTTGCCCGGTGGGTGTGTGTACGTGAGTACAGATGCGAAGGTGTCAGATCTGCTGGAGTTACAGGCCATGGCGAGCTGCCCCACATGGGTGCGGGAAGTGAAGCCAGGTCCTCTGGAAGAGCAGCAAGTGCTCTTAACCACTGGGCCATCTCTCCAGGCCCAGGATGACTGCTCATTACGACCAGTACCAAGTCACTATGGGGGCGGGGGAGATGCCTATGCCATCACAGTGCATCCGATATCTGGATAGGACATTATAGCATCACCCCAGCCCTGGTAGGGCAGGACAGAAGGGGACATCAGACGACCCTTCAAGAGAAGGCGACACTTCCACTGAGTCTTGAAGGGGTTGATCATGGAGGAACATGTGACTTTCATGTGTAACGTAAAGTTGTTGCAATACTGGAGATTTAACCTAGGGCCTCAAGTACCTCAGGTAAGTATGCTACGTCCCCAGCTTAAGGAGCACAAGAATTGTTTGCCGGACAATCCTCCAGTACCCCTGCCGCTCTGCTCCTGCCTCCTGTTCAATCCCAGCATGCCAAGGAAGGGCGAGAGCAGCGGCCCCAAGATGTCCAAGCGGGCAGATTAGAGCTGTAAATGGAGACGCCTGTGGGAGGGCCATCTGAGTCAGGAATGGGATCTCTGTCGTTGGATGCATGCAATGGGAGCTTGCAGAGACATGGCGAGATTGCCTCTGAGATCCCCCTGGTCTGATTGGCCATTGGCCTTAAGCAAGATCTTGACCACCCTGAGCAACACAGCAAGGATCCGGCTCAGAGTGAACATTTGCGTGGTGCTGTCTTGTGTTCTGGGGCTTCTGCACACACCTTAGCTCATTCCATCTCTGCTCAACGTTCCTCCCAGGACGGCCATGGGGATGGACCAAGGCCCTTTGCAACAACGCTTGAAGAAGAGACAGAACCGCTCGACACATAATAGGCACTAGATAAGCAGGGTCTTGTTCTGTAGCCCCGGCTGGCCTGGAACCCAGGATCTTCCTGCCTTGCTTCCTGCGTGCTGGGCTAAGAGCTCATGCCTCCGGCCCTGGTACCTCGATCTCCACTTTTCCTCTTCTTGTATTACTGAACATTCTAACAAGGAGTTGTATTACTGTTGTGATTTTTTTTTTTTTGACTACAAAGAAGCAATGGAAAAACTAAAAAGACTGAAGCCACCTCTTGGGAAAGACGTGGACAAGTCACAGGGTTCCTCTGAGCCCCCATGTCCTCAGCAGAGATAGGAAAGACAATATGAACTTCCAAAATTGTGGTACGGGCAGGGTGCTACACACTTGTAATCCCAGTAACTTGTGAGACTGAGGCAGGAAGATTGTTTCAAGTTTAAAGTCATACTGGGCTATATTGTGAGTATCACACTACAGATACACATCTCAAAAAAAATAATTTAAATAAAGAGATTGTGAAATGGATTCTCCTCAGTAAAGTACAGCTATGGATCGTGTGTGTGTGTGTGTGTGTGTGTGTGTGTGTGTGTGTGTGTGTGTGTGTGTACATGGCTATACTTTTGGAGACCAGAGGTTGATACTAAGTATCTCCCTCTATCACTCTCCACATTATGTTTTGAGACAGGGTCTCTCCTGGGACCTGGAACTGATTCAGCTAAATTGGTGGCTAATGAGCCCCAGGGACCCACCTCTATCTACTCCCTTTCCCAGGGCTAAAGTTACAGTGTGCATCCAGCAATTTTTTTGGGGGTTGGGGGGTCAAGACAGGATTTCTCTGTGTAGTTTTGAGGCCTGTGCTGGGATTAAAGGCGTGCACCACCACCACCCAGCAGCATCCAGTTTTTCACATGGTTGTTGGGGATCAAATTCAGACCCTCACACCTGCGTGTGGCAAGCATTTTACTGGCTGAGCTATTTCCCTGGCCCTTAGTCCTTTTATTCCAGCACTTCCCATGGACTTCCTGTGCTGAGAATTCCCATTCGCTCACTTCATCCCACAGCTCCTCCCAGGAGTTGCCCACTTCCGTCCCCACTCAAGCTGAAGTTGAGAGGGATGAGGCCGCACAATTAACTGAATGACAAA